CTAAGTCCGTGTGAGAATGGCGGGGATCTCCCTGGGGCGATGCTCGTCTCCACCGGGGTGGTCGGGTGCGGCCTCGGACTCGGGGCGAGGCGGCGACTTTCTCCGGACGGGGACTCCTTGCCTGCGCGTCCCGGACGGGAGACCTCGGCTTGATACCTGCACAAAGGTCGGGTCGGCTCGACCCGACCCCTCCGACGATCAAGTTAGAGAAATGCGATGGCGGTTGTTCGGGGAATCCAGCCTCCTCTCTTACCTCTGGCTCGAGGACGTTTATAGGGGGAACTCGGCACTATCGGGCGCGCCCTCCCGTCGGTCGGGGCCGTATCTCTGATGGCGTCCGACATCGCCGAGGACCTTGCGTATGGGAACGGGGAATCGCAGGGTATGGGCGAGCTTCAACCGCTACCTACTCCTGTCTCGTCCTACTGTGTTGGGTCAACTGAGGGACTGTGGGCTCAGTGAGGCTGACGTCCGGATGCAGACCGTTGCCCTCGTTGCTCTCCCTGGGGCGCCGCGCCTGTCCACGTGCGGGGGGCGTCGCCGGGAGTGGGGTTTACCATTTTTTGCCATATCAATTACTACTAGTATAGAACATGCTCTTCTAGAACTTAAAAAGATGATTTTGTAATCGTGAATACTTATGATCAAAGGGCAAGGCCAGATCAAAATGTAAAAGGAGTCATGAATTTTCTGAGCAAATAAAGCTATGATCTACTTTTTTACTTTTGAAAATTGTATGCTGAGAAATTTCACAAGTTAAACCTAGAAGAAACGGGTTGTTACGCTTACAACATCCAAAATTGTATGATTACAAATTCTCATTCAGGCCGTTCATTTGAGTTCCAACTTCTGTGACCAGAGCTGTCAAAATTGCATCATACTGCCTACCTCACGAAGCATCCATCAAATACATCATTGATCCAATATTTATGTCAAAAGATCTCAATCTGTTAGTTCTCTGTCCAATCTAAATGTTCAATAGGATCTCCACACAGCCGCCATGCTCCTTCTGTAATCTCTTGGAAAAGCTGGTCATATCCCCAACTTGAGAAACCCAAGAAGAACCAATAATCATCAGGAGATTCTTCTTTCAATTTAATTTCTTCAATCACCTGACGTGTTATGACTGGATTGCCAAAATAAACACATTTCACGATCTCTGTATAACCCTCTTTAGCTTTCCGAATCAAACTGACAAGAGGTAAAGTCTGAAACCTGACAGGACCTCCATAGTAGAGAGGAGCATGCTTTAGTGAAACCAGATCACTGTCTAGTTCCTTAAAAATATCCCAGCTTATCCGTTTGATAATGATCAAACCTTGGAAACCCTGGTTCTTGTCCGTGGTCACTATCAGCACTGTAGAGTTCTCAAATGGATCCCACAACTACATGTATGTGTTTATCATGAGAGGTGATTGTTGTATATGTATTAAGAGGGTCTTCGCTGTCTGCAGAAATAGCTTTATTCAGCACAATTTTGTTGTATTTGTCTTCTGGTGAATGAGATTTCTCATGAGCGGCCAAAGTGGATGCATATAACACCTGTTCATCCCTGTTTCCCTTCCTTGAATGGGTCCACGGAAGGCCTAGATATATATGAAAAAAGATTGGACTAGATGATGGAATACTAAAGTATTCTTGAAAATGAGAGACAAAAGCAGTGTCTAAAGGAGTAGAATGATTCTTCAATTACCGGATAGAGATACAAAAGCAGTGCCGACTACTACATGAATATATGATCTGCCGGACAAAAGTTCCGATCCATTAAGAGTTCCATTTAGGACTCAAAAACTCCTGGTAGCTAATCTCAAGTTAAAGACAGAAAGGCAGTTGAGCTTACTATCAACTTAAAGGGCATATCAGACTACTAATGTAGATAGTGGACAGAAGGAAACTAATTGCAAGATCTGTTAAGGAACCAAAGATGCCACATCGATGGAGGAGCCGTAGAAGTCAAACAGGGCTGGTGTAATAGCTAAGTCATAGTATCCCATATCATTCTCATTTTAGACTGACATATTAAAGTGGTCGAATTGTCCACGTTTTCTTTGGATTGCTGCAGTCATCTTCTTTTAGTTTTAATTCGAAATTTAAATTAAATGCACAGGAAAAGTCAAATTTCATCGGGATATTGTTGTCAAAAAGCAGTGCAATTTAAAGGGGCAGCAGTGTAGCCTGATAGGTTATATAGGTATATAAATCTCTACTGTCCACTTCTCAATACTTTCTACCGCATGTTGGACACTCGTTCTTGCGACCCGTCGTAGTGTTTGTTACCCGTAACATCTGCCTTCTTTTCAGCAAAAGTATATAAAGTCAAATTGGCAATCCATGACAAGTGTAACATCCGTTATGACCATCTTAGATTAAAAGTAACTTTTTATATTTTTGATGGATGACTTGTAGCTTAATTTTCTTTTTCATTCTTCTTTGAAAACACACCATTTAGTTCCAAATCAAAACATGTGTTGTCCATGGCACATACTGCAAGCATTGTGCAAAGATTTACGAGGAGATACTTGATTTTTCCTTCGTAACCTCTTATTTCGACGCCCACAACAAAAATGTCTCTTCTTGTCCTTATAAATCGCAAAATTCTTTATGGTGGGAATTGTAAGTAGCATTTGTTCGACCGAGTGTAGATATAGAGCAAAGGGTGCAATCACTTGCGGTGAATATACCGGACGACCCGGAATCGGACTCGTTTGCGGAGCGGGCGGAGGACTGCTTCCAGAAGCGGCCTCAACTCATCGCCCTCCTCCATGACCTCCACCACCGCTACCTCTACCTGGCCGACCGCTACGCCCAGTCTCTACTACACCGCCACCACCATCGCACCTCCTCCGTCCCCTCCGACCTCGACGCCGATGAAGACACCGACCTTCTGGACTCCGCTTGCTCCGACGCCGAGAGCTCCCTCTCCTTCCGAACCTCACCCGTTCAGCCCCGTTCGCAGTTCCAAGGTCCGACCCCCGCCGTCGCGGCCGCCGATCTGGACATGATCATGGCGGAGCTGATGCTGGCAGGGGTGGAGCGGGACCATTTGGAGGCAGAGGGGGCGGAGGTGGAGCGACGGTTGGCGGAGTCGGCGCGCAAGATCGAGCTGCAGGGGAGCTTGGTTGAAGTGCTCGAGGCAGAGCGGATGGTGCTGTTGGGTGAAAACGCTCGGCTAGGGTTTCGGGCAGCGGCCGCGGAGGAGGAGGCGCGGGCAGTGGCTGCGGAGTTGGGGTACATGCGGCGGCGGGCGGCGGAGCTGGCGCGGGCAGTGGTGAAGCTGCGGGAGGACCACCGGGTGTGCCTTCTGGACCGGAGGATCGAGGACCTCCAGGCGCAAATCTACGGCCTGGAGCGGCGCAACCGGGAGTGCTTCGAGGCTATGGCGAGGCGGGAGAAGGAGAAGGGGGAGGCGCGGGCGGAGGTGGACCGCCTCCGGGAGGAGAACCGCCGGCTGAGGCAGGAGGCGGAGGCGGCGCGGGCCAGGCGGCGTTCGGGCCGGAGCTGGTGGGAGCGGGTGCGGCGGTTCGACTGGGTCCCAGCCTCGTGTGCGCCGCACGTGAGGGAATCCAAGGTGCCCAAGAATTGTTTCTACATATAGATAAATGCACCTTCCTTTTTCGTCTTCGTATGTTTTTGTTTATTTACGGTCCAAAAATATGGCTATGTGAAGGACAGCACAGAGTTGGTTGTAGAGTGTCCGTGGTAGTCACCTTGTACTATGATATTATGGGTTGGACTAAACCGATAAGTATGGCAGTGTATCTGATGATACGTTGAGTTGTCTCGCGGGATGGCTGATCGAATCATGGGTGATGGACATGGCAAATTATGTATTCAGCACGCTAATTAGTATACATGAGGCGTGCAACGATGATGATGATTTACGACGGCATTTGCGCGCCACATTTACTTGTTCGAAGTGATACCTACGTTTATAGCCGAGGCTATTCATTAAATATTGTTACCAATATTATAACCATCTTTAACTAAGTAGATGCAAATTCAAACAATTAACCTGGGACATTAAGCGAAGAAGTAGCTGTCTGTATATGATCTGATGCATGGATAGCACTATATTACATGGATAGCACCATATTAGCATTTATGGGATACAAACTTTGAAGTAACGATACCAAACACAAAACTCACATGAAGCCTACATAAAATACTTAGATGTATACAAAAGATAATAATATATAAATGTTTATGGTTACAAACTTTCTAATGACAATATAAAATACAATAATATTCACATGAGGACTATACGAAACATTTGATGCATACAAAGTATAAAGCTATATATGAGATACAAACTTTCTAGTGACAATACAAGAAACATGCTCAATATTATACATATAACATGTAATATCACACGAAATAGAGATATAAATATAAATAATTAAGTGGAATACGAGCTCATCGTGGGTTATATAATGACCATAGGAATTCCTTTTCTAAGTTGTAATTTCTGGATGTCCTCTCGGTTGTTTGGTCAATTGAATCATAAAAGGTATAAGATGAATCATTTAGCAGATACTCGGTTTCTTCCATATCTTCTGGAATAGGATATCGTTTTTTCTTTCCGATCCTTCTTAAGCTTTGTAATTTATCCTCCACTTCTTTCATTGTTAGCCTTTCAATCCCATTCAACTTCAAACACATTTCTATCAGTTGAATAATTTCGAAAAGTTCTTGTTTAGTTCCTTCTTTCATGATACGTTCTTCTTCCACGAGATCAAAAGAATGCTTCTCTCTCATTGCTTGAAGAAAATACATAGATAGATTTTGCCTATTCTCATGCTCAATGGAGAAAACAGATTTCTTTCCTGTCAGAAGCTCCAGAAGATTAACCCCAAAGCTATAAACATCACTTTTCTCTGTCAATTGACTAGTCTGGTAATATTCTGGATCCAAGTATCCAAAGGTACCTTGGATAACAGTAATTATATAAGTTTCATCAAGCGGGATAAATCTTGAGGCTCCAAAATCTGATACTTTTGCCCTGTAATGATCATCCAAAAGAATATTTGATGACTTCACATCCCTATGTAAAATTGATATTGAAGCAGCCGAGTGCAGATAGGCAAGTGCTCCGGCAGTTCCTGTAGCGATCCTCAGACGAGCTTCCCATGATAATGTAGAATTACCATTTGAAACATGGAGGTGGTCTGAAAGGGTCCCGTTGGAGATGAATTCATAGACTAACAAGGGGACTTATGTTTCTAAACAACATCCAAAAAGCCTGACGATGTTTCTATGATTAATTTGAGAAAGAATTGCAACCTCATTTATAAATTGATCTATCTCACTCTTCTTTACTATTTTGGACTTTTTTATAGCGACTACGCGTTGATCTGATAGAATCCCTTTATAAACTGTTCCATGTCCTCCATGGCCAAGCACTCGAGTTTCATCAAAATTGTTAGTTGCTTTTTCTATTTCTTTCAAAGAAATTATCTTTGTTCTCTCAGCATTGTCTTCGTCGGAAGTGACGAGTTGCTGTAGTAGTAAACCATGATTTTGATGAAAGTATTTTTCTCTTAGTTTCTTTTGCTTTCTTCTCTTCCATTTCCTTCTGAGGATGACAAAACTTATACTCAAGACCAATAAGCCGACGCCGGTACTTACACCGATGATGACACCTGCGCAATGCCAATCAAGTTTTAGCTTCACAAGCCTTTCCTTTTTATTCTCACACCGAAGCTTGGTTCTTTCTTTATATAGTTTGATTTATATTAGCCACAGTTTAGAGGACTTACCTAATAAAACAGACCGTTTTTGGATGCAGTTATAGCTGCCGATCATATTTCTACATATCCCATCGCAAGCATATTTGTCAGGAAATGTGCACTCGTCAATATCTAACAAACCATAAAGAATTAATAGTTACATCTCACTTTAACTTGGAACCCAAAATGCAATATATATATATATATATATATTGATGCTAAGCTTCCTTAAATTGGCAAAGTTAGAATCCACTATTAAAACTTTCTATTATAGAAGTTGGTCCGTTCCATTTTTCTTGGAATAGAGTCTCCTTCTTGGTAGTGATTTTGACCTCAATATGGTAAATTGGTGCCATTACAATTAACAATAACATGATAATTTTAACTAATTAATAGTGCGTGACTAATTAATTGGTGGAGAAAAGCATAGGAAATCGAACTGATAAAAACAGCGGGTCATGTTTCCTCGCTTTCCTCGAGTCTACTTAACGCCACTGTATGTATTTTTTCTTGTCCCATATGTCGGTGATGTAAAATCCTCGTGCATCGTTGAGAGTCGAACAAAACAGAGCAAAGACACAATACGTGTCTACAGCAACAAAAGTATATCCATATAGCAATATACGATTGAATCCAATTATATTCTACCAATGAGATTTCTGATGGATGTACGTGAATGTTATCTAAGAAAGAATATGTTTTTTATTGGTTCTTCATATTTTGATGTTGAAATATATTGGTCATCATAAAGATGTTACTCCTTTGGTGTGGATCAGAAAAAAAACAACCAATATCGGTGAGTGACATATCATCGGGTATCGTCATTCTTATATCAATGAAATTAGTATTTAACTAATAAGTATTTCATTAACACTACAAATTCAAACAAGAGAAAATTAACATGAGCTATTAAGCAAATAAGTTGTATACATAATATGATTAGATACATATACCAGATAATATATACTACCATTTATAAGATACAAGCATATATGTGACAATACAAGTCCTTAACAATCTTGATAGTTATTTGGCTACATAACATTCCCACATGATGACTACATGACATAATGACTCGCGCATAAGATGCATTAGGTTATGTTGCCAATACACACAAAAATAAATACCAGCACAATACACACTCACCGTGGGTTATAATGTGACCACATGAATTCTTTTTCTAAGCTATAATTCCTAGATGTCCCTTCAGTTGCTTGGTCAATTGAATCAGAGAATGTATAAGATGAATCGCTCAGCAGAAACTCAGTTTCTTCATTATCTTCTGCAATTGAGTCAGAGAATGTCCTCCATTCTTTCGAATCCTTCCTAGATTTTGTAGTTTATACTCCACTTCTTTCATTGTAGGCCTTTCGCTTCCTTTAAATTTCAAGCACGTTGCTACTAGTTGAATAACTTCCGCAAGCTCTTGTTTAGCCCCTTCTTTCATAACACGATCTTCCACAAGATCAAAATAGCGCTTCTCTTGTAGGGCTTGGAGAAAATATATTGATAGGCTCTGTTTATTCTCATGTTCAATGGAGAAAATAGGTTTCTTTCCTGTTAAAAGCTCAAGAAGAATGACCCCAAAGCTATAAACATCGCTCTTCTCTGTCAATTGACTTGTTTGATAATACTCTGGATCCAAGTATCCAAAGGTCCCTTGAATACCGGTGACTATATGAGTTTGATCAAGTGGAATAAATCGTGAAGCCCCAAAATCTGATACTTTTGCTGTGAAGTGATCATCCAAGAGAATATTCGATGACTTTACATCTCTGTGTAAAATAGATATTGAAGCAGCCGAGTGCAAATAAGCAAGTGCTCCTGCAGTTTCTGTAGCAATCCTCAGACGAGCTTCCCATGACAATGTAGAACTACCATCTGAAGTATGGAGATGGTCTGAAAGAGCTCCGTTTGAGATAAATTCATAGATCAATAAGGGCACTTCGGTCTCCAAGCAGCATCCAAAAAGCTTTACCACGTTTCTGTGATTAATTTGAGAAAGAATTGCAACCTCATTGACGAATTGATCTATCTCGCTCTTCTTCACAATCTTTGACTTTTTTATGGCGACTACGCGTTGATCCGACAGAATCCCTTTGTAAACTGTTCCGTGTCCTCCGCGACCGAGCACTCGAGTTTCATCAAAATTATTGGTTGCCTTTTCTATCTCTTCCAGAGGAAATATCTTTGTTCTTTCAGCAATATCTTCACGGGAAGAGATAAGTTGTTGTAGCAGTAAACCATGATTCTGGCGGAAGTGTTTTTCTCTTATTCTCTTTTGTTTTCTTTTCTTCCATTTCCTCCTAAAGATGATCAAACTAGTACTCAACAGCAATAGGCCCACGCCATTGCTTACGCCGATGATGACACCTGTAGATACCAACCATTGAGTTTTCTATTCTCACATTGCAGCCTGTGTACATTAATTTTTGTGCATGTTTTGGTTCTTTATTTCTATTTGCTCAATCATTTGTATATATACTTTGATTTATATCAGACGTACTAATATTCCTATTGCGTCTTTATAAACCAATAAGTTTGGAGGACTTACCCAATAGAACAGTCTGTTTTTTGTCGGGGATGCATGCTCGTTTAGGATCACCAGTTGTCCCTCGTGGACATGTGCAGTTATAACTGCCCATCGTGTTAGTATAAGATGCATAGGAAAAATTATTTTGGGGAAAGCTACACTCTTCAATATCTGACAATTAATCAAAAATATCAGCAAAGCTTGAGAATGAAATCTTAGAAGATCATTGCAAAAAGTAAAAAGAAGTCTGTGTGTACCTCTACATCCACTGCAAAGAGGAAGGACAGAGTTCGAAGTACCTCTACATCCACTGCAAAAAGGAAAAGGAAGGACAGAGTTCGAAGTACCTCTACATCCAAAGCAAAGACGTTCGACAAAGTTCGAAGTACCTCTACATCCATTACGGAGATATGGATTTCCTTCATAACCATCGTTACATTCGTAACGATATTCTGAAATTTTCTGACCATTGCTACTAATGTTCTCATCCTTACATGAGCTGTGTTCGACACATGCAAATG